ACACACAATGCAATATGCAGATGATGTATCATAGAATTGTACACTTGAAACCTATATAATTTTAACCAGTGTCAGCCCAATAAATTTAAAAAATTAAAATAAATAAAATAAGAAACCATCTGTCTCTCCAGTGTTCAAATGCCACCTCTGTTAAGGAATATTAGTTTCCTTGAGCATGCTCTTAGCAGTCTTTTTCTAGACTATGGGATTCCAGGTTATCTCTCGACTCTAACTTCATCAGTGAAGCAGTGCCTGATCTGTGTTAAGTGCCTCTCTTATTGTAAAAGTGATTTTTCTTAGTTATATCAGCAATAAATCTAGCTTCAAAAAGTAGAATTCTTGAATTTCAGACACTCAGCAACTACTTGTTTTGAATTTGGAGGTAAAAAGTTAATTGGAAGATGGTAAATGGTGCATTGTTTATATTAAATAGATGAATTTCAACTATATCAATTAATAGCAGGAGAAATTTTGTTTTGAAAAAATATCTTTGAGGAATTCTTTATTTGGCTATTTTTCTTTGCTTCTGGAATTAATCAATAGGTTGCTATTATACTCAACAGAAATAAAAGAGGGAATGAGAAATCAGATTATATCAGACTCAGAATGACAGAACCAGAAACCGCCTTTCAGATAGTTTACTCTAAAAATCATAAACTATCAGCCCATAGATCAGACCAAGTCAGATGTTGCTTTAAAAAATAAACTTCCATTGTTTGCCAAAATGTAAAAGTTTATAGAATTCACATAAAATTTTGAATTTACTTTTCCAGTTTAAAATCACAGTGAACTTGCACTATTGCATAGTAGTTACCCTTATTAAATAGAGCATGCAATGTGAACAATTCTTTACTTTCACCCCCTTTCCTATTAATTTATGCTCAGCTCATTTTATTCAATTTTGTTATCTTTCTATTCTCTCTGTCATCTGATTTTAAGAGTCTTGATTTACACCAATTGCTTCATTTTGTATTCAAATTATATCTGACTCCAAAAGAAAGATGTAATTTATCCCAATCAAGTAACTTGTACTTTCCAGAGCATAAAATAAAATGTGTCCTGCCTGGCAATAAATAGAAAATTTGTAATTTAGTGCTCATTATCATAGAGGTTCATTTAATTCTAGCCTGGAGAAAATTGCATTTTTATGGTATGTTTTGATTCTGGTAGAAAGAAGTGTGTTGGAACAATTAAGACAAAGGTTAATAAGGAGATATTTTGTCTAGAAGTAAATCTGTTTTAAACATTAGTAACAAATAGAATATTAAATGCTTTTACTAGTATGCATTGCATTTAAAATCCTTCTTAAATTATACCAGTTAATTTGTCCAGTATTAATCATTTCTATCAATATTGTATAAAAATACACAAAAATATTATTTTTAAGTTTGAAGTAAAAGATGGCATTTTTCTAATGTTAGAGCTTAAGGTACATTAGCTGCTGGCTTTATATTTCTGCACTTTATAAGGATCAATAAACTAATTGTGGAAAGTACAAAATTTAGCTTTTATTTCATGCCACTTTATATTTCTGCACTTTATAAGGATCAATAAACAAATTGATTGTGGAAAGTACAAAATTTAGCTTTTATTTCATGCCGTAAACAAGACAGACAAGTATATAATTTAAGCAATGCTTAATTCCACAAGAAGTAATTCATTTAGTTTATGAAAATTATTGCAAAATATGACTAACATTATTTCTTATGTAAACTTAAGTTGTATGTAACTTGATCTGTCATAAGTTAACAATTCATTGCTCTTCATAGTCAAGCCATGTATATCAGCTATATAATTGCATCATAACAATATTAACACAAACTTAATAAATTAAAACAATACATGTATCATCTTGAAGTTTCTGTAGCTCAACAGTTGTTCACCTCCTATGCTCTTTGTTCCATAGACTCACACAGTTTCGAATCAAGATTAGGGCCAGGGCTAGGGTCTCAGCTCTGGCTTGACTAGGGAGGGGCCCATATCCAAGCTCATGTGCTTGTTGACTGGATTCCGTTACTTGTGAGATGTAGGACTCAGGGCCTCAGTTCCTCACTGACGGTTGGTCAGACATCATTTTCACTATGTTGTCATGCAGACAATTCCATATGTTCACTTACTTCATAAATCCAACCAAGGAGATGGAGTCTACTAACAAAAATGAAGTTGCATGTTAAAATCTTATGTAATCATTGAGGTGAGGTCACCTCTACTTCACCGATTTCTAACCTTAAGAAACAAGTCGCTCTCTGCCCCTTCTGAAAGGGGAGAGGAATACTCAAGGGTAGGAATACCGAAAGTGGGAGATTATAGACAGCCTTTTTAAGGACTACTGTGTTTCCCTAGCTCTCTGATTTTAACCTTTTTCATGTTTTTATTTCAAAATTACCATGATCAACCACTAAGCAATGTGACAAACAGAAAATTGTCTTGATGTCTCTATAATATAAAGTAGCATACAGTTTATTCATAATCAAAGCAGTCCATCAAAACCAACCTAGTGTCACTTTTGTAAATGCCTTCCTTTTTTGTAGTAGACTACTATCAATTTTAATTCAAAGTCACCAAAGGCATCCTTATTGTACTGAACTGAAACTACAATAATGACTAAATACATTTTTTTATAGAACATAATTATGTTTCTTAGGTATCTTACTTAAGAAGTGTCTACCTAGGCAAATGTATCTTTTTCTAATTTAGTTGGGACTATTTGATTGGAAGTGATAGGAATCTTAGATAAATGAGAAATAAAAGAAAAAAATAATTTTTCCATGACTGAAATAATGAGCTTACCTAGCTTTAAGTATAGCAGCATTTAAAATATTAGTCCAAGTGAAGGGATTCTATTTTAATCCCAAGTTATTTCATTTGTGTTGGTATCATGCTCAACAAGAACATTCCTATAAAGTACAAGCATTAAAATTCTAGCAAAAAGTACAAAATGAACACCGTATTTTCTAATAAGTAACAGTAACATTTCTGGGCACAGCTTTCATTAGCTTTGAGAGACATTTACCATGCATAAACACAGAGCAAAGATGATAAAGTGTCCTCATTGGCCAGAGAGAGCTAATGTGTTTATCCATATATCTCAAGGAATTGGTCAGCCCTACCTAAACCACTTAGAATGAGAATGGAGGAGGAAGAGTTATCCAAAGCAAATTCTGGATGCTGTTAACAAAAGAAGGCAGAAAGGATGCAGGAGAGTAAAATAAATAGTTATTGACCATGTAATGAATATATGGACCACTATTAGGTGCTGCAGCATCTGTAAGATATAGCACTTTATATTTAGGTAACCGAGTGAAACAATTATGTACACTACAGTGCCAAAGAACATAGCAATTTGGACAAGATGTTTATGAAAGGTTATGTGTAATTACATTTTCAAAGTATATTTGTGTCTCAGTATCTATATATATAAAAGCCTAAGCGACCGAACGAACAGCAGACTGGTCTCTATGACACACACTGACCACCAGGGGCAGACTGAACAGCAGACTAGTCTCTATGACACGCACTGACCACCAGGGGCAGACGCTCAAGGCAGGAGCAGCTCCATGGTGGTCAGTGTGCTCCCAGAGCAAACTCCACAGCCGGTCAGCCCCAATTAGCCCCAATTGCCGGCCAGGCCAAGGGACCCCACCTGTCATTAGGTGCTGCAGCATCTGTAAGACATAGCACTTTATATTTAGATAACCGAGTGAAACAATTATGTACACTACAGTACCAAAGAACATAGCAATTTGGACAAGATGTTTATGAAAGGTTATGTGTAATTACATTTTCAAAGTATATTTGTGTCTCAGTATCTATATATATAAAAGCCTAAGCGACCGAACGAACAGCAGACTAGTCTCTATGACACGCACTGACCACCAGGGGCAGACGCTCAAGGCAGGAGCAGCTCCATGGTGGTCAGTGTGCTCCCAGAGCAAACTCCACAGCCGGTCAGCCCCAATTAGCCCCAATTGCCGGCCAGGCCAAGGGACCCCACCTGTGCACGAATTTGTGCACTGGGCCTCTAGTTTGTTATAATAGGCTTCAATAAAGACACAATATATATAATTGCACTAGATTAGAAGAACTGAGAAAATGGGGATTAAAATGAGGGGTAACATTAAAAGTGTAAGTATTGAAAGGAAAATACCATATGCAAGAAATGGCAATAGGATTTATCTTAGCAGTTTGAGAAAAGAAACTAAAGCTTATTAGGAATCAGATGAGTTAGACAGATTGACTAGACTACAAAAAGACTCAGATATTATTAAAAATTGTATTTAATAATTTTCTAAATGTATTGGAGCTGAATGATACAAATACCTGTGATTTATAAAAGTGAGATTATTTGCATTAATTTATGCAAATAAAGTTATGATAGCCTAGTTAGAGTGACCAATATTGCATAATGAAATTGAGATTTTAAGAATTATATAATGAGTTGTTGAAAATATATTTTTGATTTAAATATGTACCATAGTGTGGCTACAGCTAAGCAAAATAAGTATGTAATTTCAAAAGAAGTATGAATTTTTTGATGCCATCTATTCAAATACTTTTAGTACAGTTAGAGCTTTGCAATTGAGCAAGAAAAAAGACAAAAAAGAGACATTTGGAAGCCATGTGCTTAAATATGATAGCATCAACCAAACAATAGCAACATTTTACTTTAGCAGTTGAAATAGCAAATTGTATCTCTCTGTTGTTTTCAGTCTGGAAGGTGCTTTAGAGATAAGTGAAAAGCATTTTTAATGATATTTGACAAATAATAAAGTAGTAGTATGTTCCATCTTAAATTGAAAACAATGCAAGCAACAAGACATTATTAAAAGAACATTTGCATAATTTTAGACAATTTTTAGGGTTGGAGTCAATATACTTTCTGAAAACCTTCAGAAAATATTATTATTCACATAAACACATACACATAAACTAATTAAATTCAAAACTCCATCCTGGCAAAATGGGCAATAAAAAATTAATTATTTTCTCTAAACCTGCAGGCCTCCTCCCGTAAGTGAACTTGCAGCCAGAGGGACTGCGGTTGGTGTAATTTCTGCTGCAGCCATCAATCAGAGCATTGTGTACTCCATTGTTTCAGGAAATGAAGAGGGTGAGTAGATGTTTAGTCTGAGTTTTTACCATAAACTAATCAACTTGGATTTGGAATTATTTCAGATTGAATTATTGTTTACTCTATATTTTTAAAAAAAACATTTCCGGCTTAAATGTAATTGGTAATTATGTGCTGAATCTGATTAAAAATCCAGTTACAGTAATGAGAGTGACCCTCCTCCCCCCAACCAGGAAATACTAAATATCTAATTCTGGCAGTCTTCATTTAAGGATGTTTTAATGACAGGTCTTCAAATTTAATGTAAGTTATAGTTAGTTTTATAGTTATAGTTATAGTTATAGTTATAGTTATTGCTTTCCAGGGGTTTATAGTTATAGTTATAGTTATAGTTATAGTTATAGTTATAGTTATAGTTATAGTTATAGTTATAGTTATAGTTATAGTTATAGTTATAGTTATAGTTATAGTTATAGTTATAGTTATAGTTATAGTTATAGTTATAGTTATAGTTATAGTTATAGTTATAGTTATAGTTATAGTTATAGTTATAGTTATAGTTATAGTTATAGTTATAGTTATAGTTATAGTTATAGTTATAGTTATAGTTATAGTTATAGTTATAGTTATAGTTATAGTTATAGTTATAGTTATAGTTATAGTTATAGTTATAGTTATAGTTATAGTTATAGTTATAGTTATAGTTATAGTTATAGTTATAGTTATAGTTATAGTTATAGTTATAGTTATAGTTATAGTTATAGTTATAGTTATAGTTATAGTTATAGTTATAGTTATAGTTATAGTTATAGTTATAGTTATAGTTATAGTTATAGTTATAGTTATAGTTATAGTTATAGTTATAGTTATAGTTATAGTTATAGTTATTGCTTTCCAGGAGTCTCTTCCCACTACTCTGTACCACCTACCACTGGTACTCCATGTCATATACTAGTAGTAGCTAATCCTGAAGAAATTTTAGAGCCATAAATGTTTGTGAATGCCCAAAGAGGCACATGCATGACAAAAGCCATGTATATTGTATAATAATATTCCTCACACAGTTAAATTAGACATACAATTGACAGTTAACGTTTTATCTACCCATCACGTTTCACTCAGAAGAGAATGGTTTGTGAGTCTCTAGGAATAAGTCCATAGCTCAGTCTTTGTCACCCATTCTTTGTGTCACTGCTATCCACAAGTTGGTTGTCCTCTGCTTTTCCCTTTTGATGAACTGTATGGCCTGGCATATTATTAGTAGCCAAAACGGTTAATACATATTTAATAAATGCATGAAGAATAAATAGGAAATTAGTGAATTATTAAATATGAAATTAATGAATTAATGTTAATGAATTAATGAATTAATGTTAAAATTGTAAAGGCCTTTTCCAAGTGTTCCAACAACCAACCATTACAGGAAATCGCTGCCCCTAAAGCAGTGCTCAACATCACACTTTTCTTATTGTTTTCTTCTTTGTTTCTACCGCTATGCCTCCCGCCTAAACCTAACTAATTCCTTTTCCCTTGAACTTCCAGCATCTGACTGAACTGTGATTTCTCAGTCTGTTCTGATACTTCTTTCTGTGATTCTATCAGTTCTCTTCCTTGAAAAAAGCAGAGGGATTCTACTTATTACCCTTCTTACCCCACAATGACTATTGTTATAATGTATTGATTTATTAATTTATTCAACATATATTTATTGTTTTATTTAACAAGTATTTATTGAGCACCTATTAGATACTAAGTGATCTTCCAACCACGAGGGATAGAGCAGTGAATAAAAAAAGCAGATCCTTGCCCTCGTACAAATTACTAAACTGATAAGTATACAGTATTTAGGCAGTAATAAATACTATGGAGAAAACTAAAGAGAAAAATATAACATGAGTGCAAGAGGTGAGATAGTTTACAATTTACCAAAGTGCCCTGCTCTTCCTTCAAATATATATTAAATGGGAAAATTCATTGAATAAATGGACATCAGAGCAAAGTATTTGAAGCTATTTAAAATAAGAAACCATATTTTCTAAATAATCACCATTTTTTCCCTAAAGTGTCCTTAGCAGGACACTGAATCTACAGGATAATAAGATGCATTAAATTATAAAAAGTATAATAATTTAATAAGATAATAAAATAGTTGGCTACACAAAATGAAATGGGTTTCTTCAAAACAGAATTTCTAAGTCTTTAGTATGGTAGAAGACCATCTGAATCTAGGGTGAGGGGTATATTATGCATTGCTCCCAAATGCAACTGATCACAGAAACATTGATTTCAAGGAGAATCTCAGAAAAAATAGATTTTCAAGGCCTGCGATTAGGGTAACACTGATGTTTATAATTTCTGGAACATACGTTTCCAAAGAGCTGAAACATAGTTTCCAAAAGCCAGATTCTTATCCCTATATGCACTACTACTAAAAATGTGTTTTGAACTCACAGTGCCTTTTAAGAATTGTTTTTACTTGAAGTTTGAGGAAAATGACCAAGAAATTACATTTTAATTCTAGGTAAGTTTGGAATTAATAACGTCACGGGTGTTATCTATGTGAACGACCTTCTGGACTATGAAACAAGGACAAGCTATGTACTTCGAGTCCAAGCTGATTCCCTGGAAGTGGTCCTCGCCAATCTCCGAGTTCCTTCAAAAAGTAAGTTATACTATGTAAAGATTTTAAAATAAATGCATGGTGTTTCTGCTCATCTTACTTTAATTTTTTTTAAAAAAATTATATTACAATTGACATACAATATTATATTAGTTTCAGGT